GGGCAGGGCAAGAGCCCTGGATTCAAAATCCGAAATGTTGGCTTCTGGTGAGGAACTGACTCCTCAACCTCCCGGCGTGGCACATAATTGTGGGAACCCCAATCCGACCTGTGCCTTAGTTGTTTCTTTTACAAAACAAACCCTGCCTTGCTCCCCAAGGTTCTGGAAAGCTGAGTACTTGAAGGGGAGCGTGACTCTCCCTGCCCAGAGAGGAGGGAGGGGAAGCCCATTTCGCCATAGTCTCTGTGAATCTATTGTTTCACCCTGCTAGTCTCCTCACCCCAGCCACCCCGCGGGGTCATCTCCTGGAGAGCAAAGACTTGTCCCTTTTCTTTTCACTCCTCTCTCCCAACCCCCCCGCAGCGCACTCCTGATACATATGCTTTTCCCGGAAGACTTGCAGATGAGTTACCTGAGCCGAGACCCCATAGTTATTACAGGAAAGTTCTATGAATCCGCAGCTCCCCGGGGTGACCCACCAGCCCGGCTGGGGGTCCAGTCATGAAAGCAAGCAGCTTAGAGTCCCATTCATTACTGTTAAAAAGCAAGAAAGACAAGGTGGCCTGTGACCTGGGTGTCTTGCTGCTCAGATGGTGCCATGGCTAGGGTCGCTGCTGTGTTGCCTGTAGGCAGCTCTCGCCTGCACCCCAAGCCTTTCCTTCAGTAAGTGCTTATGGAGTGGCTGAGCCTCTGCTGAGCCTCTGCTCTCAGGGAGGTGGTCCCTGGAAATACATCCTTGCTGGGAGAGCCAGAACTCTTCAGATTCGGAACCAGCCCCCTTGCAGGCTAGATGGTACCAAGAGATGTGCCTTTGGACCCTGCTCATCTCTACTTCCGGTGTGGGCAAACATACCCCCAAAGCCTGGGGCTAGAGCTGAGCACCTTGAATGCCCTGAAGGGAATGTTTTGACTGGTGGTTTGGAGCCTCTACCCCAGGAACTGCCTGAGAGTGGAGGCATCACTTGAACTTGGGGTCTCCAGCCTCAAACCTGGGTAACTTGAGCTTCAGTCAACTGGCTGCTTTAGGCTTTTGTCCCTGGTGAGTCTGAGCTTAGGAGCCATGAGCCCTGGTCCCAGAGTGCCAGGCAAGGCTGAGAAGAAGGTCTGTGTAGGGTCAGAGACAGGAATTGTCCCCTTGGAAAAGGGGAAGCAAGCACCATTCCCTCTGCACCTCTTTGACCTCTTGTCCTAGATGGGTGGGAAGTGAGAGCCCTTCTAGCCCTTTATCTGGACACCCAGGATGATCTAGCCCTCAGAAGGCCCGTGGTGTTGAAGTGAAGTCTAATGTTCTTCACTCTGATGAGCACCTAGCAAATTTTAGAACCCCGACCCTCTATCACAACACAACACTCAAGACCATTCCAAGCCAGAGGTGTCACTCAAATAACCGCCTGCCGTTGCAGGCTCGTTTCCAAGTCCAAAGAAGGAGCTGCTGCAAGGAACTCCCGTTTGAAGTTCTCCCAGCTATCGCTCCCTTTTGGCGGAAGCAGGTCCACCTGGAACATGCAGCGGGATGGTAAGCAGCTTCGGAGACTTGGGATGAAGCCGGGGATAGGCGGGAAGGGCAGGGAGAGCATCTACCTAGGCTCTTCTTCAAAAGTCTTGGGAGGACAAAGGAGGAATAGGAGAGAAGAGTTTTGAAGGAGGGGTGAGTTCATCTCTCTAAATTCTTTTTTCTCTCTTTTTTTTTCAAATGATTTTTTAAAAATAATTTTATTAGGGGCTCATACAGCTCTTTGCACAATACATACATGCATCCAGTGTATCCAGCACATATGTACATTTATTACCATCATCATAATCTAAACATTTTCTTTCTACTTGAGTCCTTGCTATCAGCTCCTCATTTTTCCCCTTACCACCCCCACCCTCTTTCCCTCATGAACCCTTGATAATTTATAAATTATTATGTTTTTTCATGTCTTACATTGATCAGTGTCTCCCATCACCCACTTTTCTGTTGTCTGTCCCCCAGGGAGGGGGTTATATGTAGATCATTGTGATCGGTTCCCCATTTCTACTCCACCTTCCCTTTCCCCTCCTGGTATCGTTACTCTCATTACTGGTCTTGATGGGTTTATTTGTCTTGGATTCCCTGTGTTTCCTGATCTTATCTGTACCCGTGCACATGCCTTGGTCTAGCCAGATTTGTAAGGTAGAATTGGGGTGATAGTGGGGATGGTGGTAAGCATCAAAGAACTAGAGGAAAGTTGTGTGGTTCATCGGTGCTATACTACACCCTGACTGGCTCATCTCTCTTTGTGCTTCTGTGAAGGGGTGATCAGTTGCCTACAGATGGGCTTTGTATCTCCACCCTGCACTCCCCCTCATTCACAATGATTTGATTTTTTGTTCTTTGATGCCTGATCCCTTCAACACCTCATGGTCACACAGGCTGCTGTGCTTCTCCCATGTGGACTTTGTTACTTCTCAGCTAGATGGTCACTTGTTTACCTTCAAGCCTTTAAGACCCCAGACGCTGTATCTTTTGACAGCCGGGCACCATCAGCTTTTTTCACCACATTCGCTATGCACCCATTTGTCTTCAGCGATTGTGCTTTCTCCTCTTTCAGAGAACAGGAGATGGGGTGATGATGGAGTGAGGAGAGGTAGGGGGGCATGTTCATTTTATGCAGGACTCCCCTTGTAATGGCAAGGTTGCCAGTTGGAACACACCGAGAGGGGCCTTGGAAAGCAGGTCTGCTGATCTGCTGAAAACTCTATAGCAGCGGTTCTCAACCTGGGGGTCGAACAACCCTTTCACAGGGGTTGCCCGATTCATAACAGTAGCAAAATGACAGTGATGAAATAGCAATGAATATAATTTTATGGTTGGGGGGTCACCACAACATGAGGAACTGTATGAAAGTGTTGCAGCATTAGGAAGGTTGAGAACCACTGCTCTATAGCCTTGAAAATCCCAGGGAATGGTTCTACTCTGCACATGAGTCAGAACCAACCCAACCACGATGACAACAGTAGCAGCTGCACCGACAACCACCAACAATGGGAGACGCCTCCTTTTCCATGGTTCCATCTGCGTCCGCTCTGGGCCAATGTTCTTGGAGCTGTGTTTCTACTCAGCCCCTCACTGCTGTGTCCTGCTCTCCCCCTTAGATCAGGAAGGCCAGCACAAATGGCCCATAGGAGTCACCCCCACACCACCTCCCCAAGGAAATGGTACACTGTGTGGTTCCAGGAGGGGAAGGGGAGAAGGCTAAAGGGGGGAGGGGGGAGAGCTTTCTGAATGATGGGAAGTCAGGCTGGATGAACCTCAGTCACCTTCTCCCAGGGGGGACCCTCTACGCCACCACTGGGTGGGGAGTGGGGCAATGTGGTATAGACACCTCCTTATTCTGTCCAGGGATCAGCAGTGTGAATCAGCTAGGGGGACTCTTTGTGAATGGCCGGCCCCTGCCCCTGGACACCCGCCAGCAGATTGTGAGGCTAGCCATCAGTGGGATGCGGCCCTGTGACATCTCCCGGAGCCTTAAGGTAGTGTGCCAGGATCTTCCCCCAGGGATGTGGACAAGCTGACCAGAAGAAAGGGCCCCCTTTAAAGCAAAAACCTAGGGCTGTTCCTGGCTCTAGGGACCTTTCTAGAACACCCTCTTGGATGTTGGGAAGGGGAGCTGCAGGCACCCAAGGGTGAGGCTGGACTCCCAAGTCTGTGTGGCCTGCTCCTCTCAGGCTTTGCCTTGTAGCCCCTTTCTGTCTCAGAAGCACTTGCTTCTGCCTATCTGCTTCACCTGTTCCTATTTCTCACCTGACCCAGGTATCTAATGGCTGTGTGAGCAAGATCCTCAGGCGATATTATCGCACAGGTGCCTTGGAGGCCAAGGGTATTGGGGGCAGCAAACCACGTCTGGCCACACGCCCTGTGGTAGCTCGAATCGCCCAGCTGAAGGGTGAGTGCCCGACCCTGTTTGCCTGGGAGATCCAGCGCCAGCTGTGTGCTGAAGGGCTTTGCACCCAGGACAAGACTCCCAGTGTAAGTGCCCCTCCCTCCACTGGGGCTGGCAGCTGTGCTCTCTGGGGAGAGCAAGGTCCCTGGGTGGTACACGCAGTTGGTACTTGACTGCTCACCTAAAGGTTGGCAGTTTGAATCTACCTGGCAGTGCCGCGGAAGCGAGGACGGATGGTCTGCTTCCATGAGCGATCAGAGCTGAGAAAACCCCGGGAGGAGCTCTGTTCTGCAGGCCATGCGATCGCCATGCGTGGGAACTGACTCGTTATTGCTTGCGTTATTGCTTGGGGGGCGGGATTCCAATGCGGGTGCTTCAGGTGAAAAGTCAGGGCTCACTCCTGGGCTCTCTTTTGGTCCAGAAGTTTCTTGGGTAGCGGTAGAGATGAGAGAGGTAAGGAGGAGGAAGCCTCAGGGGAGAGAGGAGGCTGCCCTTGGGAGAGATGCGCAGGTAGGGGGAGAGGATACAATGGGGCGGGGGGGCGGGGTGGTCTCCTCAGGATGCACCCTGGCTGATGCACCGCCCACCCTCTCAACACCCAACGCCCCCAGGTCTCCTCCATCAACCGAGTCCTTCGAGCACTACAGGAGGACCAGGGGCTGCCCTGGGCACAGCTCCGGCCGCCAGGTGGGTCTTCAAGGTGCTTTGTATGATGGTCATTGTGACTTGGGTGGCAGTTCACAGAGCAAACTGAGGTTCTGTGCTGAAGCTTTTTGCTCTGTGACCCTGGTTGCCATTCCCACGAGAGACGGCACACTTCCTCCTGCCTCCCAGGGTTTCCATTGGTCCTGCTGTCCTCTCCCTTCCTGCCCTGTGAGCTTTATCCCTGGACAAACGCTGTCCCCCCTCGCCCCCCCCCCTTTTCTTAAATCTCACAGGGTTGGTTGTTGTAAGGCAGGTGTGCCTCCCTGGTATTGTTGTTCACCTTCTAGGTCTGTCTATCGTTTGGCTGAAAGTTGAGCCGGGCGAGTGCAGTTCCAGGCATCTAAGGGTTCTCTGCCCATCTCTCTCTCAGATTGGTTTGCCTGGTCTCAACATCTTTTTAGTTCTCCTTGGAATCGTGTCCCCAACAACCTGAAAGGAGGGCCTAGTTGGGCCTCCTATTCCACGGAGGTTCAGAGACGTGAAGGGGTTGGCCCAAGGTTACCACGTCCTGATTGCAGAGCCTAGAACAGAATCTAGGGTCCCTAAACCATACGTTTCTAAGGCCAGCTAAGAAAGAGTCAGCGCTCGACCTTCCATGTCCTTCTCAGCCTCATGCACAGCTGCTCAGAGCTTCATTTAGCAACTGTGGGGTTGGGCCACAGTTTGTCCCCCAAAGCACCAAGTATACACCCCACCTCGTCACTGAGCATGCACCCCATTGAGTGCTCCTGCTGCCAGAGGCTCCCCTGTCTTAGCCATGCCTCTCCCACGCTTGAGCCTCCTCCCACGGCCGCAGAATCATCACTGCAAAGCATCACAGGCCAGTGTTGTCCTTTGCAGTTGTTTTGGCACCAGCTCTGCCCACTCCTCATTGTGGCTTTGAGACTCCCCGGGGTCCCCACCCAGGGACCGGCCACCGGAATCGGACTATCTTCTCCCCAGGCCAAGCGGAGGCACTCGAGAAAGGTGCGGGGGCAGGGCAGACAGGGGGTCAGAGGCCTGAGGTGTGACAGATGGATGGAGGCAGTGGCCCGGGCACGGCATGGGGGCAAAGATCGAGATCAGTGATGGCCGTGGGAGTCTCCCATGTGGCAAGAGAGGTTAGGGCCAAAGTGGAGGATGCGCGGGCGGTCCTGAGGGGCGACCTTCTTTCCCCCGTGCCCTCCATCTGTAAGCCTAATTCCTGCACAGAGTTCCAGCGTGGGCAGTATCCTGATGCAGTGGCCCGTGGAAAGCTGGCTGCTGCCACTTCCCTCCCTGAGGACACAGTGAGGGTGAGTGAGCTTTGTGACACAGAGTCTACAACCTCCCAAGGAGAGAGAGTCCTGGCTGGGCAGGGCTTAGGGGTCCCATGAAGTGGAGGCAAGACTGTGGGAGCAGAAGTCAGAGGTCTGGCCCTCGAGTTCCCTCTTCTGCTGATGGTGCTCCTCTTCCCTCCCAAGCTTTTGAGTTGAGGGAATGGGTAGAAAGCAAAGACCCAACAAGGGAGGGAGGACATCAGGGAAAGTCTGGGAAGACTCTGCACTCTGGCTTCAGGCTAGGAACCCATGGTGAGGGCGGCAGGTGGCAGACAGCTGAGACTATTGTCCCTGCCCTCCTACAGGTCTGGTTTTCTAACCGAAGAGCCAAATGGCGCAGGCAAGAGAAACTCAAGTGGGAAACACAGCTGCCAGGTGATTTATCTGTACCTTTATCCTTCCACCCATCGTCTGAGATCAGTGAAGGCTGTGGAAATCTCACCTGTCCATCATCCATCCATCATCCCTCCATCCATTATCCCTCCATCCATCATCCATCCATCCATCCATCCATCCATTATCTCTTGATCCATCATCCCTCCATCCATCATCCCTCCATCCATGAGTCCTCCATCCATCATCCTTCCATCCATCATCCCTCAATCCATCATCCATTTATCCATCCCTCCATCCATCATCCCTTCATCTATCATCCATCCATCCACTTTCCCTCCACCCATCATCTATCCATCATCCCTCCATCCACCACCCATCATCCTCCATCCATCCATCCATTATCCCACTATCCATCATCCCTCCATCCATCATCCATTTATCCATCCATCATCCATCCCTCCATCCATCATCCATTTATCCATCCATCATTTGTCCATCCATCCATCATCTATCTATTCACCTATTCATCCATCCATCAATCCCCATCTATCCATCCATCTAATCATTTATGATCTACTGTCAATTCATTCATCCTCATCCATCCATCCATCCATCCATCCATCCACCCATCCACAATGTTCTTCAAATTTTTACTTGACACCTCCCATGTGCCAGGTGCTATAGTAGATGCTGAACATACACAATCCCTGTTCTTGTGGGTTGCACTGGCCCCGATTCACCATCCCTTGGATTTAGTCCTTTCTTTCTGGAGGTTACCCCTTCCTCTCTCCCCACCCCTGCAAGATGCTGCTGCCGTTCCTAGACCCTACCCCTGACTCTTCTCTGACTCTCCACCACCCTTCCTTACCTGCCTCATCCTCTCTCTGAGTGGTTTCACTCTCTTCTTCTAGGTAGTTCGCAGGGTCTGTCGGAACCAGGTGCTTCTCCAGGAACCATCATGGTACAGGTATTCAGGAGGGGCAGACGTTTGTGAACTAAGGAGACGGGAGGACTCACTACCCCTCCTGTTCCTTGTGAAGGTCTGAGCTGGGATTCCCCAGCTCCCTAAGGAACTCACAGCGCACACTTCCAGAAAGAGTCATCCCCATAATCTGCTCTGGAGGTTTTCAGGATACAGACTGGGCTGTGGGCAGTCCTGGGCCACATCCTGCCGGCCAGAAGGCACTACTAACAGCTGAGGTTTCCTCTTGATTTTTCTAGCAGCTTCCTGGCAGTGTGTCTCCAGCAGCCCTCCATGCCCCGGACACCTTGGGGCCTTCCTGCTATCAAGTGTACTGGGGTACAACACCAGACAAGTGTTTGAGTGGCAGCCCACCCCAAGCCTGGCTTGAGTCCTGTTGGGGTAAGAATCCAGGCCAGGCTTTCATTTTGCAGGGTGTGGGAGGGCTGGCTGATCTTGGACTCACTGGCAGGCTTGGATTTCCAGTTGGGAACTTCAAGTGAGCTCTGCTTGCTCCTTGCATGGCTCTCAAAGTTGAGGACACTGTACCTCAGGGAGCCTGCAGCACCCCTGCTAGCCAAAGCAGAACCAGGAGTGGGATTCAGCTCTGTCTATTCAGGGTAGGGGATCAATGTCTTGGTCTCTCTTCTGCTGGTGATGTTGGCTGGAGTGGGGGGTGGGGGTGGGGGTGGGGGGGAAGCAGGCCCTGGCTTAGCTTCTCTTTGTCCCTACAGGCTGCTTGCCCCCAGAGCTGAGTTCCCTGGACCCTGCTCAGCTTTGCCATCCTTGCTCCTCCTGCCCCTGCCCCTGCTGCCAGTCTTGGTGGCCCCAAAGCCCTGCTCTTGCCTGGCTCCCCACCACTGTAGCCCTGGAATGAGAAAAGAGGACTACAGTGGATGGGAGATGGGGATGGGAGAATGTAACACCGCCTACCTAGGCAAGTCACTGCTGCTTCCTCCTGCCTACCATCTGCCCCTCCCATGGATCACCTGGGGGGAGGGCCTGGTAAAACAATTGCCTCCCCCCTCATATTGGACATAAAAGGATTCCTCTCCTCCATAATAAAATTTTTTTCTTTATTAGCAGAAGTCTCTGTTGTCTTGTGTTTCTCATGAGCCCCCACAAACCCATTCTTGTCTTTAACATTTGTAAGCAGTTTGCCACATTGATTGCCCTGTCTATCTTTCTTTCTAGCTAGCAAGCTATCATCTCATCTACTTCTTTCCTTCCCTCTTATCTCCATCATCCATCTCTCTTTATCAGCTAAGTATCTTGGCATGGGAGTACTCATCCACCTACATACAAGCACACACATATACACTGACACACACAGTGATATTGCATGTCGCTTCACCTCTAAGTCTTTCAGCACACTTCTCCAAACCCAGAACCTTCTCAGATTATTACAATACCATTACCACATTTAAGAAAGTTGACAGCACTCTCTGAATCTGTGGAGCCCTGGTGATGTAGTGGTTACGCCTTGGGCTACTGACTGCAAGGCCAGTCATTTGAAAGATACAATTTTTTTATTCTTGTAAAGAGCTACCGTCTCAGAAACCCACAGGACTAAACCCATGGGTCTGTATGAGTCGTAATCGGAAATGCCATTTTCATATTGTTTTTTAATTGGGGCGTGTCCCTGGGGCACATCTGCTTGGTTCTTCTCGGCAGTTCCAAATCTTCTCGGTTGTGTCCCCTTGCAGGGAAAGCTCTCGGCTCCTCCTAGGAAGTCAGGGGGACTAGGAGATGGGAGGACGATGGGGAAGAGAGAATGTGTAGCCTGAATGTGGGGTGGGTTCATCTCTGCAAATTTTCTCCCTTGAAATGAGAAATGAGGATGTACAAGATGGGTTGCCATGTGAGGGGTTGACTTGTTTGTTTTATTCCCAACTAGGGTATGCACGGATCCAGAAACCATCTTTCCAGAGGTCTATGCCATCCAACACTCTAGAACAATGCTGTCCAATCAAGTGGCCACCAACCACTTGTGTCTATATAAATGCACATAAGTGAATACAATGAATAATTCAGTTCTTCAGTCAGATTAGACACATTTTAAATGCTCAAAAGTTGCCTGGGGCTCGTGGCTACTGTATTGTGCACAGTAAAGATGATAGAACATTTCCAGCATGGCAGAACATTCTGTGGGGGCAGTGCAGCTCTAGGGTGACATTCCAAGGGCAATCCAGTGCACCCTGACCCCCATCCTGCTCTTCCTAAGCCCCTGGAAATGCGAAATTTTGTCAGCTGACTATCCGCACAGAATAAGCCAATCACTTCGGTAGCAGGACTGATGTGGTGGGAGAAGCTATCTTAGCTGAGGCCTGTTGGCTGTGCACATTCTAGCAGAAGATGGGATGGCATGTATGGGAGACAGGGCAATGTGAACATGGGCGTGCATGTGTGTTTGTGCACCTGCATGTGTGCTAAGCATGCCCAGCACCTGAGTGTGTGCATGGAATTAAGGAATGTTGCAGAAGAGAGCGCATTAACTTACTCAACTCCCGTCCCCTGAATTCCACCCACACCCTGGCCTGCTCTTCATTCTCCCTTGGAAAGGAGAGGCTCTGCTCCTGTCTGTTTTCAACTTTGACTCATTCGATCAAAACTCTTTCCCTCTGTTCTCTTCTAGCTCTCAAGAAGAAACACCTTACAGAAACTGAAGAGCTTCTCCCCTCTCTCCCACCTGAATCTCTCTCAAATGGTGTGGTTTCAATGGCCTCTTTTCAAGGGACTTTAAAACCAGGCACTCACCAATGGTGCCATTTTCCCAGCGTGGGGGACAGGCGCCATGTTGGCATTTGAGAACTTCTTAGGAGGTGTGTGGATGCTGCTTTAATAATCCTGAGTCAGAAAGGAGAAAATAATTCCCTTTCCTACTCACCTTCCATTCTGATCCCCTTTAAGCGAGGAGCATCCTTTGGGTTCTAGTCTCGAGTACCCCAGTCACAGATGTTAACTCACCTTCAACAAAGGAATGTCCGCCTCCGAGCCTCGAGCAAGAAAGGGAAAGCTAACTAGGATCTGCCTACTTAATGTTGCTGGTTTTTCTCATTGTATTTACTATTACAATCAGTTTCTATTGATTGTTTTTCCATTTAGGATCATGATAGAAATATTTATTTCTAAACAAATGGAGTTAAGTGTGTACGGCAATAACAACATTCATATGATGGATAACCCAAACCTCCTGCCATTGAGATGATTCTGACTCAAAGTGAGCCTATATAGGGGTCTTTACAGGAGCAGATAAGCCCGTCTTTCTCCTGAGGAAACCCTGTGGTTAGTATCCAATGAGTAAAGGCCCAAATCATAAAACAGTTCAAGAATGACAGACATTTTGGAAGGCCCACTTTGATGGAAAGACTAGTGAACATTTACTTAACTGCCATAGAATCGATGCCAACTCATAGTGACCCTATAGGACAGAGTAGAACTGCCCCTGTGAGTTTCTGGGACTGTAACTGTTTATGGGAGTAGAAAGCTTCATCTTTCTCCCACAGAGTGGCTGATGGTTTTGAACTTCTGACCTTGCAGATCACAGTCCAACAAATACCCACGACGCCACCAGGACTCCTAGTGAATAGTAGGGTTGGAAGAATGGAATCAGTGGCCCAAAATTTGTTGTGACTAATCACAGGACCTTGGGTAAATGACGTCAGCTCCCTGAAAAAGATGGGACGTGGGAGGTGGGGGTGTAGCTGCCACGCACACCTTCTTGGATCAAAGGTGAAGCTATCTAGTAACTCGTAGGGTGGGAGCCGTTATGCACGAGATGTTATTACCACTCCCCTATTCCCATAGTATTAACTGTCATTCTCCTTTCTAGACCAAAGGGTTACATGTAGAATCATATTTGGATTCTGAATCCCTGAGAGCAAAGCTGGCTCCTCAGGGTGTCACAGGGACTAGCTAATGGCCCTGCTGGAAGGGAGTGGGCCAGTGGAAGCACCAGTGGCCAGCCCTCTTCTGAGTAAAACTTAAGAGGAGTCTGCAGCCCCTGTAACCTCCCACTTCTAGACCCCTTAGTTTGTACTGAGTCAGATGCACGCAAGGACCTTGGGGGTGGCCTGTTGTGATGTATTGCTTCTTGAAACAGGTGCTCTGCTAAACTGGGTAGGAAAAGTTGTGTAACAGATAGTCTTCTCATGGATCTTGACTCTGGGGTTCCTGTTCTGCTTAGTACATGAATTTCTCCCGGAGGTTTTGGATTTCGGCAAGTGTCATCCCACTGACCTGGGGACAGAACAGGACATAGACACTTTTACAATTCATCGATTAGTGATTGATGTCTGGGTGGTGGGAGAAACTTAGTGAGATCCTGGAAAAGGAGAGATAATAAAGTCATGTCCCATTCTTTTTTTTTGTCATATCCCATTCTTGATGAGAAATCAGAACCCAGTAGGTGAAGCTACAGAATTGGAGAAGGCAGCATAACTTAATTAGAATATCAAACAAACGGTGCAAAAACATCTGAGCTGGATTTGCCTCCAGTTGGGGCTGAGCTGGGGAAGACTTCTGGGGGACAACGAGTACGTTAGAGGGCCAGACTTTTTACCCAGCATTTCACATTCGTTATCTCGGGCCACATTCACAACTTTCTGAGATAGACACGCTCAATCTCCCATTTAAGTGATGAGAAGGTGGCCTTAAGAGGGTAATTTATTGATGGTCAAACAACAAATGTAACCCCATAAAAATCTAACCAGAGTCCAGGTCTTTCTGAATCCCAAACTGAGCTCTCCACCACTCTCTGCAATATAATGAGGACGCTTCAAAAAGTTCATGGAAAAATCCACTTATGTCTTCGTCCCGTTTCCTCATGCCTATGTTGAAGCTCCTTGTGCTGTTTTCTGAGAACGTGTGACATGAAGGAGCCTGAGAAAACATCTCTCAATCCAAACTCTTAAGAAAATTAGGCACTGAGGGATGCATTTTACTTGTCACAGTTTGGCCACCAATTAAAAGACCCAAGCCCACTGCCCTCGAGTTGATTTTTAACTCGTCGTGAGCCCCTAGAGGATTTCTGAAATGAAATCTTTACCGGAGTGCACAGCCTCAACTTTCTCCCTCAGAGTGGCTGGTGGGTTTAGAACCACAAACCTTGCAGTTAGCAACTCAATGCCTAAGACTTGGTTCCACTAGGGATCCTTAGTAGGCCACAGTAAGGTGTCTATGCAGACAACTGTAGAAAATGACGACAATGGAGGCAATAGAGGCAAGGCGTACCTAGGAAGATCTATATTTAGATTCACATTGTGATCAAACCATCACAACCCTCTAAGAACTAGATCATAACCAGTTTACAGAAAAGGTCACAGAACTTGTAAATGAATCTTATTAGCTCTGAATTGCAACAAAGCCTAAGCTCTTCTTACAACCACCCCCCTTTTTGACTCTCCAAGTCAGGGAAGCCAAACTCCGTGCCAGTGAGTCAATTCTGGCTCATAGCGACCCTCCAGGACAGAGAAGAACTGCCTCTGTGGGGTTCTGAGACGGTCACTCTTTACAGTAGTAGAAAGCCTCATCTTTCTCCCAAGGAGTGGCTGGTGGTTTAGAACTGTGGACCTGGTGGTAGGGCAGCTCCACGTAACCACTAAATCACCAGGCTCCTTCAAGTCAGGTCAATTGTGAAGGAGCAGAACTAACAGTAACAGGAGGCCCTGAAGAGTTGTGAGCAAGGGAGGGATGGGGTAGAGGCAGCATTATGGGAAAGCTCACTTAGTAGCACATGAAGGCAGGGGTGACTCAGTGGGAGAACTCTCACCTTCCATGCAGGAAACTGAGCTTGATTCCCAGCCAGTGGACCTCAAGTGTAACCTCCACTCACCTGCCATGGTGGAGGCTTACACATTGCTAAGATGCTGAGTGGAGCTTCCAAACTAAGATCGACTCAGAAGGCAGACCTGGGGATCTACTTTTGAAACCCTAGGGATCACAATGGTCCTCTCCCACCTTGTATGAGTTCGGTGTGAGTTTGGGGTTGACTCAATGGCAGCTAATAACAATGAGGGGGTGGGGGTGGGGGTGGAGAAGAGATTGGATGGGGACAGCACAAATAGAAAGGGATGCTTCCACGAGCTCTGGAAGCAATGCAGGGCCCAGCGGTGCAAGTGAGCTGAGGAGCCAGCCCTCTAGAGGCAAGGTTGGGGCAATAACGTTCAAGGTGTGGTGACAGGAGTGAAAGGGAGAATGAGCGACAATGCCGAGGGCTTGGGTGTCCGGGAGGATGGCCATGGGAGACCAGGAAGAAGAGAGTCCGTTAGGGAAGGGAAGGTGGGGAAGTCTGATTCAGCTTGCTGATTATGAGGCCGTGGCAAGGTGCACTGGAGGGAACGAGCTGTCTGCCTGCAAGTTTTGGGGGCCGAAGAGAAACATCTGGGGACCATCAGACACCCCACCCACCCCCACCCACCCCCCCGTCAGTGAACCACGAAGGGTGGGATGAACAGAACACCCAAAGGTGGAAAGCACACCCTCACGGCACGTCTTACATCTCCATGCCCCTCTCCTAAAAGCAGTTGACGGTCTGCATCTTACATGAGAGAAATAAGATACGCAGGTGCATTTCACCCCATCCAACCCCCAACCCCAGGTGTGCTCGGAAGCACACGCCAATGTGGTTTCACGGTGAAACCCAGATACGATTTCTCTCCTCCTCTAGCAAATCCAGGTTTCCAGGCCCCACGTGGAATGGCACAGCCCTGGACTCCATGTCGCCGGTTGATCGGGTCGCATTTGGGCCTTCCCGTCACCTCCCAACCACTTCCACTTGACTTTACCTAAAATTCCCAGATACACTCTTTGGTAATGTCTTCGCTGTCGGCCAACAGGGTGCCGCTCCGGTCGGCTCGCATGTAGAGGCCATTGGGTGCCAGGACTGTTAGCAAGTTGCTCCCTCGAAGCTGGATGTAGAAGTTGAGGGCAAACTTGCCCCAAGGGCGAAAGGTGCCGAAGGATGTAATTGACCAGAAGGAGCCACTCTGTGCTGGGGTGGGGTGCAGGGTTGGGGGAAATTTGGTTGGTAGGTTGTCTGGGAGGGCAGTCCTCTGGCCCTGCAGCTTCTAGGGAGCAAGCACCACCCCATGGCTGCCCTGGCCTAGTGGTGCAGACAGGTCTCTCTGTGGAAGCGCAGAAAGAAGGCCAGGAGTAACCCCTGTACTTCCATTCTATCAACCCACACCGGGGGTCTTGGTTGGGTGAAATCCTGTTTTCCCTTTTGTGATGAGCAGGCCCTGATGTCTGGGTCAAGGTCCAGCGGGGATGGGAGTGGGGGCTTCAGTGAGCACCTTGGGGCCGAGAAGAGGGGCTCCTCACCCTGGAAGTGGTAGACGCCCTGGCGACAGGGTAGCAGGTGGATGCAGTCTGGCTGGTCCATGTTGCACTGTATGAGGTCATGCTCTGATGAGGTGCCCACATACCCATAGCGCCCCCGCAGTACCAGGAAGGGGCGATTGGCTAATCGAATCCCAAATTCCTCATTGTGGCCTGAGAGAAACAGGAAGGGTTTGTGTGTGAGTAAGAGGGTGTGGGGATCGCTGAGCTGGTCAGTCCTGGCCTAACAGAAATCAGGAAGATGTTTACCCAGATGGAAGCAGAAGGCTAAGGCTAAGTGTGAAAAGATGTCCATATGAGTGGCCCCCAGAAAGTTCACGGGAAAATTCCATTACCTACTCATCCCATCTTCTCATAAACTTTTTGAAGTTCCTCTTGAGGCCTGATGTGAGGTGTCAGGCTTTAAAGCTGGTGCTTGTGAAAAGTTTGCAGAGGCACTTGGCACCGGGCTGAGCTCAACAGATGGGGACCATCTTTCTACTTCTGAGATATGTGAGTGAGGTCAATGCTTGGGATCAGCCTGTGTGGCAGACCTGGCGGATGCCCATCTCTGTTTTCCCAAAGGAAACACGCTGGCACTCTGGGATGGGCTGAGCACCCCCCCCTCCCAGCTTCTGACCCCCTCCGCCTTCTAAAAAGCATCCCCGACGGACTCAGAACGACCTGCAAGAAGGCCCGGCTGCTCACCTGGAACGCTGGCATTGGCCATCAGCAGGCCGTTGGCCATGACACCCACGAAGCGCCCGCTGGCGGCCTGCAGCATGATCCGGCCGCAATTCCAGTGCATGCGGAAAAAGGTGTCCGACTCCAGAGGGTGCCCATCAGCCATCACTGTCCTGTGGCGCCGCTGGAGAGGATAGTGGGAACAGGGGGGAGGAGCGAGGGCTGAATGTCTCTTCATCCCGTCTGCCATTTTAATCCCTAGAACCTCCTCCTCACGTCCTCCCCACACCAGCCTTTTCGCCACTCCCCCCATCCCGCTCCGCCCCCCACGCCTGTATATTTTGTACTATCTCGTCCTTTATGAGAATGGATTGTGCCCCTCCATTCTCACTGCCAGGCTGTGCTGTATCCCAGAGCCTAGCATCAAAGGGGATGGAATACATGTACAGAGAAAAGGGAACTTGAGCCTTTCTGCCAAAGGAGCGCTGGTGGCGTAGTGGTTACACATTGGGCTGTTATCTGAAAGGTCAGAAGTTTGAAATGGCCAGCTGCTCCTCGGGAGAAAGAGCTTTCTACTCCTGTAAAGAGTTACAGTCTTGGAAACGTATGAGGCAGTTCTACACTGCTCTATAGGGTCACTATGAGTCGGCATTGACTGGATGGCAAAGACAGAGCCTTTCTGCCAACTAAGTGTAAACTAAGCTACAAAGCTTCTAGTAGACAGTCCTTGTGGTTTGGGGGTAGGCATTGTTCAAGTGTCTGTTTTTCAATGTAAAAAGCAGGAGCCACTTAAATAAAAATGGACGACTTGAACATCATGAACATAAAAACTTTTGTTCTTCCAAAGACATCATTAAGCAAATGAAATCACAAGCCACAGACCAGGAGGTCTTTAGAATGCAGACTTTTGGGCAAAGGATTTCACCGAACACACTCAGAACTCTTACAGATCAATAAGACAAACAATGCAATTAAAAATAGGCAACGATTTAAAACACCACTTCACAGAGAAGATATACAAATAGGCAACAAACACTTGAAAAAACATGAAAAGACAAACACATTGCTTATTCTAAGAAAAATTCAAATTAGAGCCATGATTAGATGCCGCTACACATCCAATAGGAGGCTCAAATAGAAAGTTCAGACAACACCAGGTACTGACAAGGATGAAGAACAATTAGAACCCTCACACATTCCTGTGTGGAAATGTAACCTGATACAGTGACTTTAGAAAACAGTTTGACATTTTCTTTTTTTTTTTCTTGTTCCCACCCACTCCGCGCCTAGCTGACTCCTACCACGCTCTACTGTCACCCCAAAGTCCAAACCAAACCTGCCCTGGAGTCAACATCAACTCCTAAGGACCCTATAGAACCGAGTAGAACTGCTTCACACCGAATCTTTAAGGAAGCAGCCTGCCTCAACAGTTTCCCTTTACGCGGCTGCTGGGTGCGAACCGCCAACCTTTGGGTTGGGAGTCAAACTTTTTAATTACTGCGCCACTATTACAGCCGACATTTTCTTATCAAAATCAAACATCCATGAAACATATGACTTAGTAATTCCATTTCTAGTTATTTACCCCAAGACACATGAAAATGCAGTATATAAACATTGATGGAAACTTTATTCATGACAACTCACACTGGAAACAATCCAAATGTTAATCCGCAAGGGAGTGGAGAAATAAACCCTGTTTGTGTTTATGAATAGTAAAGGGGCTTGAAGGGAGCAAATGGCTTGTGACTAGCTGCTCACCCAGGGGTTGGTGGTTCAAACCCACCCAGTGTCTTGACAGAAGAAAGGCTGTGTAATCTGATTCTGTAACTATCATAGCCAAGAAAACCCCACGGAACAAGTTCTGCTCGGCACATGGGGACAACAATATGGAACACTACTCAGCGAGGACAAAGGAATGTCTAACCAAGACATGCAACATTACAGATGTGACTCAAAAGCACCCCACTTCCTCCAAAAAACAACCCCCTCACCATCACCAACACACCAAATTCACTGACTCGCTGCCATCAAGTTGATTCTGGCTTGGAGGCAGAGTAGAACTACTCTTATGGGTTTCAGAGACCGTGAATCTTTACAGGAGTAGAAAGCCTCATCTTTTTCCTGCAGAGTGACTAGTGGTTTTGAACTTCTGTCCATGTAGTTAGCAGCCCAATGAGTAACCCACTATACTGCCAGGGCTGCACCCTTAAAAACACAGAGGTAAAATTCTTGAGTAAGCAAATTCGTTCTCTGGTGACAGAACACTGATCGATTGTAGCCTGGAGTGATGAAATCGTTTCTAGGGTGATTGTTTAAGATTACCTGGGTGTACACAATTGTCAAGCTTTCATTGAAGTGCACACTTTAAAATGAGTGTGGTCTATTGTATGTAAACAGGCCTCAATAACATTGAACTATAAAAAGAGAGGTCCAATTGGATGCATATGACCATTTAGACACTAGGGCATTCACAGAGACCCTCAGCAGTCCACAAGAGAAAGTTTCAAGAAAAAGAGTTCAGGGGGCTTAAGGCTGAGGATGAGAATTAAGGTCTCACCTGAACTAAGTAGCAGCCATTGGCTGAACGAAGCTGCAAGTTTGGGGTCTCCTTGTTACATTCAAACTGGAACAAGGACATTGGGGTTAAGCGCTCTGCGGCAGCATATACCTCAACATCTGCAGAGGAAGAACACACCATAGCAGGTCAGAGCCGCAACCCCCACTCAGTCCCACCCCCTCCTCTCCTCCCTCCTCTCTGCTTTTTCCCTGGGGCGCCCTTTGCTGTCCTTCCGTGGCCTTGAGCGCCTTCTGTTGGACTCTGGACTGGAGAAGACCAAAGTGTCCCCTCTCTTCTAGCTTTTCCCATGGCCAAGGAGACCCCATGGGACCCCAGGATCTTTCTTATCTTCAGCCAGCCTTGAGGAGCCCGAACATGACCTTCCAGGCCCCCTCTCCCTCCCTGTCTGTGCTGGGCCCCCGCACTTGCCGTAGAAGACGGAGATGTACTTCCGTGCCCTGGACTTGAGGCTGACCCAGGCTGGGCAGTGCTGCAGGACGAACCACTCCTCGCCCCTATGGGGACTGGAGCCCAGGCCCAGGAGCTGTCTCGCCCCCTGTGGGTAGAGCATGCCCCCCTCTCCATCGCTCAGTGCCACCAGCCCTCCCGGCCGGACTTCCATGTGAAAGGTGGTCTGGGGCGAGGGCTGGGAGACCAGTCGATCCAAGTGGGACAGGAAAAGGTGTGTCGAGGTCTCCAGGTGGTAGCAGCCATCTTGGAAATGCAATAGGAAGCCACATTCCCCCAGGCAGGGGACTGGCGTGTCCACCCAGACTCGGCCTATCGTGGGGTCAGCCCGGGCGAAGCAGTGGTGGAGGGGGCTGTAGAGGGTCACGTGGACGTGCAGGGCTGGCCGAGGGGCCCACATGTGGTAGGCTGAGAGGACCCTGGAGTTGCAGAACACATCCTCGCCGTCGGACTCCAGGTAACGCCCACTGAGGATGCACTGCAGGGTCCACTTGCCGTTCCGGTGGAAACGCAGCAGGAAGCAGCCGTGGTGGCTGCTCCTCGGCCTCCCGTAGCACACGGAGCCGTTGCCCTCCGACAGCAGGTAGAAGCCTTGCAGGCTCCGGAGGCGAACCACGGCCTGCGACTCCTGTTCATTGCTCACCAGGAGTTCCCAAGTCTGGCACAGCAGGAGGGCGGGGTGGAGATGGATACCACCAGGTGAGTCGAGCCAGGAGCCCAACCACCACCCGGCGGCGCCCCTGGCTTTACCGCAGCACCGCCTGCCCTCCTCACCGGCCCTGCCACCCTCCCAGGCGGCAGCAAGCAGAAGGGACTCGGGCCACATCCATCCCTGGAGCCACAGGGCTTCTCGGGACTCATAGCTCAGTCTAGCTGTCTGTTCCTGCACCGAACAGAAGGTAAGCTTTTCGCTCCCTTTCTGTCACCAGTTTGCTGAGAAATGCTTTGGTTATGGTCTTGCTTCTCCCCTCCTCGGTCCTGGAGAGAGTGCTGGAACACTCAGCCAACGCCTCTATCCCAAGGCCAGGAGAAAAGCAAGACTCCTCGAGGTGGCCGCAGCTCTCCGGAGGAGCCCCTCGGGAGATGAGAACGAGAACCCGACAGTCTGCTTCAGAGGTGGCCACCAGCCTTGTGACCAGCGAGAGCACTCTGTGCCGGCCTCCCTCGTCCAGGCAGCCACCCTTCAGGTGCCCCTAACTCTCTCTAAAAGGAAAGCTGGCCCCCTCATTCTTCCCAGATGGCAACCAGAACAGAGCCAGAGGCCTTGCTGTAACCCCGCTAGTCCAACTTTCCCCGGATGCCCTGGATCCTGGGTCCTCTGACTCTCTGCGTCGACACTGCCCTTCTGTGCTGGGGTGGAGGGTAGGGGGAGTGAGGACCAGGTAAGGTAGGAAGACCAGGGCTGAGGCCTCCCCTCCTGGGGCATGTTTAGAGCGGGGACACCGAGCAATGAAACCCTGTGGGCTAAAGTGGAGCAGGCGGTGATGACGGAGACTAGATGGGGGATTAGGCTGCGAGTGCACCTCACCCCCCACCCCAAAAGGAAACCTTGGCCACTTGGAAAGTTGGCTCCCATACAGGTTGGCTTTGTTACCTGTCTCTTGCCTAAACCCTTCGCTGAAGCAGTGACTGTATTCTTATAGGCCTCGAAAGTGAGGTAGGTTCCCGCCCAGCTGATGAGCCCAACTCTTAGGTCCTCGGACTTGGGCTGCCTGTGTGTCCACTCCGTCTCCTCCATGGGGCCAGTGCTACAGGTAATGACTTGGTCTGGCCCAGCCCTCCCCCCAGTGGCGAGGTGCCCCAGGCCATAGGGCCCATCTGAGCCCTATAGTACCTGCCAGAAGAGGTCCCCCGAGAGAGCTCCCGGCCAGAGGTTGGTCTAGGGGCCAGCGCCTCTGTGACCCGGAAGCATTGTGACTGTGAAGGCTGCCTCTTATCTGGCCACAGTAGGGAAAGGACACTGGCACAGCAACACCCATGGCCCTGAGGACGTGGGCTTGGGGCCACGGCCTTCCCCCTTGCCCCAGCTCTAGGAGGTGAAACTGGAATCAGAACTGTAGCCTGGGCCAATGCCCACCTGTGACTTCAGGTAAGTCCCTCCTCTTCTTCACTTCTTTCTCATTTTGGTAACAGAGCAGTATCACCACCTTTCCTGCCTTCAGAAGGGGGTTCTGCCTGGCTCCCTGGAGACTCAAGTGTTCTTTTGTGTTTTGTTTTGTTTTGAGGTCAAGGCATCGGAGGAAAATGTATTTTGTTTCTTTGGGAGGATGAGCCCAACAAATCTTGTTATTTTTTAATTTATTTTTTAAATCATTTTATTGGGGGCTCGTACTACTCTTATCACAATCCATACATCCATCCATTGTGTGTCAAGCACATTTGTACA